CTTGAGTGTAACAGAGAGTTAAAGGACAGTGTGTGGGTTTGTGCACTTTGATGAAGCACTTTATGGAAACACTGAATGTTAACACTACGTTTTTAATAGCACAACTCCAAAACTGTGTTACACTATTAGTTCATCGCTAACATTACCAGTGGTAGAGTTACATTGACACTAAAAGAAACACTGTGGAAAATCATTTTAGTACCTGTGCTAGTTTTATGATATTTTTATAAGCAGTACTGATGGTTTTGCACGAGTCATGTACTGTGACAGTATGCTTTCAGAAAAATCTGTCTTTTGTTTGTATGGCTGGTGTTTATTCATCTATTAGAAACACCTGAAGTGGAATGTACAGTGTTTTTAATTTTGATTTTATTTTAATATCTGGGTGAGATCTGATGAGGCATTGCAGTTTATTTGAACATAATGTAAAGGATAAACTCAAGATATCACCACGCTGAAATGTTTCCTCTTCTTTTCTTTCTTTCTTCTTCTTTACAGATTGCTCCGATTACATAAGTATTTTATTCAGACATAGTTTTGTATAAAAACTTTAAAATGTAAAATTAAATTTCAAAAAATTTAGAAAAGCTCCTATTGATTGATAATGTTAAAATGTAATTGACCGCAATGATGTAGAATCTATCTATCTATCTATCTATCTATCTATCTATCTATCTATCTATCTATCTATCTATCTATCGGTCTATCTATCTATCTATGTCTATCTATGTGTATCTATCTATCTATCTGTCTATCTATTGGTTTATCTGTCTATTTATCAGTCTATGTCTGTCTATCAATGTCTGTCTATCTATCGGTCTATATATCTATCTGTCTATCTATGTCTATCTATGTCTGTCTATCTATCTATCAGTCTATCTATCTATCTGTCTATTTATCAGTCTATCTATGTCTATCTATCTATCTATCTATCTATCAGTCTAACTATCTATCTATCTATCTATCGGTCTATCTATGTCTATCTATCTATCGGTCTATCTATCTATCTATGTCTATCTATCTATCTATCTATCTATCTATTTATCTATCTATCGGTCTATCTGTCTATTTAACAATCTATCTATCTATCTGTCTATTTATCAGTATGTTTATCAGTCTATGTCTATCTATCTATATGTCTATCTATCGGTCTATCTATGTCCATCTATCTATCTATTTATCTATCTATCTATCTATCTATCTATCTATCTATCTATCTATCTATCTATCTATCTATCTATCTATCTATCTATCTATCTATCTATCTATCTATCTATCTATCTATCTATCTATGTCTATCTATGTGTATCTATCTATCTATCTATCTGTCTATCTATTGGTTTATCTGTCTATTTATCAGTCTATCTGTCTATCTGTCTGTTTATCAGTCTATGTCTGTCTATCAATATCTGTCTATCTATCGGTCTATATATCTATCTGTCTATCTATGTCTATCTATGTCTGTCTATCTATCTATCAGTCTATCTATCTATCTGTCTATTTATCAGTCTATCTATGTCTATCTATCTATCTATCTATCTATCTATCAGTCTAACTATCTATCTATCTATCTATCGGTCTATCGATGTCTATCTATCTATCGGTCTATCTATCTATCTATGTCTATCTATCTATCTATCTATCTATCTATCTATCTATCTATCTATCTATCTATCTATCTATCTATTTATCTATCTATCGGTCTGTCTATCTGTCTGTCTATCTGTCTATTTAACAATCTATCTATCTATCTATCTGTCTATTTATCAGTATGTTTATCAGTCTATGTCTATCTATCTATATGTCTATCTATCGGTCTATCTATGTCCATCTATCTATCTATCTATCTATCTATCTATCTATCTATCTATCTATCTATCTATCTATCTATCTATCTATCTATCTATCTATCTATCTATCTATCTATCTATCTATCTATCTATCTCTCTATCAATCTATCGGTCTATCTATCTATCGATCTATCTATTTGTCATTCTGTCTCTTGTTCTTTCCATCTCGCTGTATCTAATCTTACCTTGCAAACACTAGTATTTCCTTCAGAAAAGCGAATGATTCAGCTGTTATGGGATTGGCATGGACATTTGGCATTGCATGAGGAATGACCACCATTAAACCAACATGTTTACAATTAACCATCATTAAATGCATTAAATCAAAACTTCAGACGCTGGGGATCATTTAGACAGAGCATTATGATCAGTTTTAATATTTGGCTCTCCAGTATGAAGATGAGTCTCCTATTGCAGTGCCAGATGTTTGCAGGTGTGCTTTTTCTGTGGTGCTTATGCTTTTTACGTTCATGGCAGTTTGTCCATATGTGTGTCTCTATACAAATCAGATTTTGCTGTGGTGTGTTTGTGCGTCTGTGTGTGTGTGTGCGCATGTCCTGAGACGGGTGGCCAGGTGTCTCCTGCTTGCAGTGTGTGTCCTCTGCACTGCGTGCTACAGGTAATCCTCTGTTACCGTACTCATGTATAAAAAAAAAACAACTGCACTTATGTACTATTACAAATCTAACTCTTCTCTTCTGGGTGCTGGTGTTGACATCAGGCTGATTCAACCATCTTGTTAGACCTTGTTAAACTCTGTTTAACTCCAGGTTTTCCATCTTTAATCATTTAACACACTCACAGGGGATATAATTCACACTCTCATACAGTATATGACTGTAGTACGTACTCGGTCTTATTTGTTTTGGAGATCAAATGCAATGTGCTGTAAGATTATTCAAGTCTTACATCTGTAACAAACAAGGATGCCAAAGAAACGATGTTTTGCTGATTGCTTAAAGGGGCTATATGTAGAATACAGAAATGCTTGTTATTAGCGACACCGGTGGCAGTTTAGTGAACTGCACTCGAACAAGAGACTGAATGTGATTTACTACTCACGGCGAAGTTCTTCTTAACAGCTTTACTGTTTTAAATGCCTGTACTTTTAACGAGCTTTTACATATAAGCTTCAGTAAATCGAGGAGCAGGAGTTTCCCTGCACATTCACTATATAAAATTCACTGGAGGTAAAAGTTCACGTGGCCGTCGTCAGATTTGGAAGTCACTCAAAAGGCTCCTTCATGGTGGCTTCAGTCGACTTCAGTGAGGCGCGGTGGTTTATGGGAGGAGTAGTTCCTTTGCTCGGAAATGAAAATATGTACACAGGCTTGTACCCTTGACTTTTTTTGGGGATTTTCTCTTCGTTTTTTCACTCGAAATGATTTGTTGTATGCTAATGATTTCAGCCGTAGCTGGTTATCCTCAGACATGCTCTAATAACATCCCGTGTTCTTCACATAAAAATCAGTCTACATGTTTTCATAGACAACCTAGGAAGTCGGAAAAGGTCTCGTTCCTTTGCAAGCTGTTCACACATTGGCAATACAAATGCAATTAATAAGTAAAATAGATTTATTTATTTATTTACATAAAGCCCCTTTAAAGTTGTGTTTCTTATTCCTAGGAAAATATTCTAACACTAATTTTTCTGTATTTTTTCCTCCTGTAGGTGATGAAACCTATCATGATATCTTCAGGGATTTCTCCCAAATGGCTTCCAACAACCCAGAGAAGCTGAAGCGCCGTAGCACTGATATGAAGTAACCCACCTGACCACTAGATGTCGATGTTACACCAATATACACATACGGGCGATCCAGTAGATGGAATGAAGTTACCACATACTATTGCTTTTCTATTTTTTTTTTTTTTTTGCTGAAACGTCACCCGGCTGGCTCCCACAGTGAACACCTCTTATGAAACGCTGCTCCATTTGGTTTGTCTGGTGCACTTGATTGTGGGTCTAAACATTTGGGTTTTTAGCATATTTATCCCAGTTTAGGCGTTAGGATGTCATTGATAACATTTGCTTATCTCTTTGGGCACAATCCTTATTCCTTTACCTTCTTCATCCAGATAATTTATCATTTGAGTAAGTTTACATTCCCAATGTAATGAAAGCATCAAGTGGAACTCATAAAGCCGAAGTAGTGGTGAAGTGGATGCCTTTACGTTTCTCTTTTAAACGTTCCTCATTGAGTTGCTATTCATTTCTTTTATTCACTATGTTGTGAGCCACAGTGTTAATGCAACTTGAATGTAAATGTTACGTTGGGTGAGAGATCAGTTTGCTTGGTTCTCTTGTATATTTTTATTTCAATTTTCTCTTTTTATAAGACCAAAACAACACATTTGAAATGGTAAGTGATTTTTTGTGAGCATGCAATGCTCTAAGCAACACGTTTGAAATGAATTAATGTGGAAAAGGTGGAATATGTAGCTAAATAAATAAATGATTCATGACTCATCGTGTGACTTGCATTTCTAAACTCCTCTACTGGATAACTAGGATGCAGAATTGTGCAATGAAATGCCATTAACAATTGAATATCTTGTTAGTTACCGTGGTAACAGGAGAACCACCTGATCGGCTCAGATCAGAAATTCCACTCAACCTTTCAATAAGATCAAAAGTCAACGAGGATTTTAAAGCTATAAAGTGCAAAGAACTAGATGATGAAATGTTTAATGTCATCGCTTTGCTTTGGCAAACCAATGCTACTACTAGACCAACTGTGATTGAACTACATTTGCCAGCAAGCAGGTCTAGGTTAAACTCTGTCTGCTTTCTATAGGCTAAACTGAGTGTGTGTGTGTGTGTGTGTGTGTGTGTGTGTGTGTGTGTGTGTGTGTGTGTGTGTGTGTGTGTGTGTGTGTGTGTGTGTGTGTGGCCAATCTCAAGGCAATAAGAGCCTCGGCATGAGAAAGCAAAGTCTGGCAGTGGCTGAACTCATTGACTCAGTCCACGTGTTTGATTTTATGAGAAGTGTAACAGCATTACAGACTAGTATTCAAAGTGTTTTACATGTGAGGTAGAGAACTGACAGGTTGACATTAATATACAATAGTAAATCTCTTGTATTATGTCAAATAAAATGTTTAAACAAACAAAAAATGCTTTGAGGAACACAATTTGTAACACTTTGGTCCATGATTCAGTGAATTTGTTTTAAGTCAGTGACCTCGGTGGATAAACATGTCAATATTCGGAGACCTTGAGCTTTAACATCACAGTGAAAACCCTTCGCATTAGGCAAAATCCCCATCATAAAATATCACTGAAATACAAAAAAGATGCATTTTGACCCCGAAAAGACAACATCAATTTTCTCGGACAATGCAAAAGAACATCTTGAAAACATATTTCTCCATATGCAATACAAGAACAAGAAAAGTCCAGCTGTAATCAAGTAAATGTAGCTAGTCTGTGTGAAAGATTGATGCTCTACCTCGGGAGCTGAACAGGATTAGCATTGCTACGTTAGCATTAGCTTGCCTTCAATCTGTAGCGTCTAGCATCAAACAAGGAAATGTTTTGCCTTTATCCTAGCTTTTGCTTGATGTGAAAACAACATGTCTGAGATGTGATGATGACCAAGTTATAAGCTTGGAACTGAGTAAGTTCTTGCTAGCAGCAAACATGTTTGACTAGCATTGAATACAAAACTGAGATTAATAAAAACCACAAACCTCATTTAGTCCACCAAATATCATAATCAGATTTCTGTCAGAGAGTGCCAGAAGTCAAACAAGACACCATAACTTAGGCCTACAATCCAAAAATTATAATATTATAAAAATAATAATTTATAAATGAGTAGAATTTCTGCCAGCATACTTCTCCAAAATAAAACAGCGTTATGGTGTCAGATAGTAATACCATTGTATTTAATATGCAGTGCCCTCCATAAATTCAGAAATGGTCAAGCAAAAGAGGACTTTTAGAACAATTCCGGCACAAATCCTTATTCTGTGATGATTTTGCATTGATTATGAAAAGATATTTTATTGAATAAAAATTATTGACTTCTACAGAGCCCAAAAAGGGACATGGTGAGCGGGGAAAACATGAGATGGGAGGAGGAAAAAAAAGTATATATATATAAATACTTTTTGTTTATTAAAGGAATCATTAAATTAACAATATTTCTGACATTAAGACAGATTTGTATATAACTTTATTCCAGTTAGGCAGACTTCAACATCTGAGAACATCTTTTGGATTGTTTTGTTACTATCCAAAAAGCAGTAGCAAATTTCACCTATATATATATATATATATATATATATATATATATATATATATATAAAATACCCTTGTATATATATATATATATATATAATACCCTTGTATATATATATATATATATATATATATATATATATATATTATTTGGCATTGGGTAAATCTCACTAATTTGTACTTATACCACATTTTTCAGTAAAACTTTCAGTGGATAATTTCATAAAAAACATTTTGGCCACGATTCCAATACAAACATTTGTGTATCCTGTTTGATATAATGCAAATATCCTTTCAAAAACTAGCTCTACCACCATTAGGTGTTTTCTAACATCACAAAATCATAATGTTTCCTTTAATTTAGTCAGAGGAAGAATTTCCTGAGGTATTTGTTCTTGTTCTTGCTCTGGATGTGTAACCTCTCTCTTAGAGCAGATCTTTAACTCTTTTTCTGAGTTCGAGGTAGTGGGTTTGAGTAGTCCATCTTCAATGGAGAAATCCTGAGACTTCTTCTTTGATGGCGATGGGGGTGGAGGGGCGGTACAAGACCAAAAATAGGGAAGAGTCATTGTAACCAACGTACCTAACATGAGGAAACTACCAGCAGTGATAAAAGATGCCGTGTATGTTCCAGTGTAGTCCTTCAGCCAGCCTAGGAGGAAGGAAAATGGAGATGGAACAATTATTTCAAAGCCGAAAAGCTGTATCAATTTGGTCTTACCTATTATGCTTTTTTTTAATTTCCAATTGTCTTAAATGTGTAATGTTGCTGTTTGAGCATGAAAAGGGTCTGCAAAGTTACAAACGTTTTTTGCGTTCACACCCAAGCGATTTTCACTGACGATGAGCCGAGTGAACATGCAAATTCATTCCCCGACTGGGTGTTTGAATCAAGATTGCAATCTTTAATGATCACTCATGCAGCTCTAGAAGAGAAGTGCCACAACATTAAAGGTCCTCTTTAAATAAAATGATTGTGATCATCTTATGAGCTCCTACCAGACAGTGGTGCTCCCAGCAGCCCTCCAACGCTTTCAATGAGCTGCAGGAGACCAAGGGCTCCTAGCACTCGCTCGATGCCTACGATCTCCGGCACCACCGCGAAGGCCAGCGGCGTCATCGCTCCTGCGCAGAAGCCATAGGCCAAACTGACAACCAGCAGTCCTGGGTAACTCACCGCAGCGGGAATGAGCATCAGAAACAGGCCCAGTAACCCAGTCCACAGCGCCAGCATGTGGGGCATCCGCATTCTGCCCAGATCCGAGGCCCAACCGGAGGCTACGCGGCCCACGATATCCGCCACACCGGTTACAGAGATTACAAAGGCCGCCTGGTACTCAGTGAAATCAATGTTACGGCTGTGGGCCACCAGGTGAACGTAGGGGATGAAGTAGCCCGCATTGAAAAGGGTGATGGCCGCGGTATATGTGAGGAAGCCTCGGTGTGACAGCAGGGAGAGCTCAAAGCACTCGTAGATACGGGAGGGGGAAAAAGAGCATCTGTTCAGGTTGGTCGAGTTTTCAGTCTGAGAAAAGCACAAATAGAGTAACAAATCAAGAATTCCTTAATTTTTTATTTTAAGCAAACAGGAATCTGGGGAGGGTTGTTAGTTGGGCAGACATGCACCGAACCGTGAGCCCAAAACCGAGGTACCATTACACCCCAAATAAAAAAAAATTAAATGTATACAATTACATCATTCTAATATGTTTCAATTATGAATTGTTCAGTTTATCAATATATTAAAGGATTACTTCACTTTTGAAAAAAAACTTTTGCTGATAATGGGGGCTGATCACCCCCATGTCATCCAAGATGTCCATATCCTTCTTTCCTCAGTCGAAAAGAAATTAAGGTTTTTGATGAAAATATTCCAGGATTTTTCTCCATATAATGGACTTCAATGGGAACCAGACGGTCCAAGGTCCAAAAGACAGTTTCAGTGCAGCTTCAAATGTCGTTAAACGACACCAGACGATGAATAAGGGTCTTATCAAGCAAAACGATCGGTTATTTCAAAACTTATTTCAAAAATGTAACTTTTCTAAGAACAAATGCAAGCCTTGCTCTATTCTGTGAGGCGCGTTTGTAACGTCACGTAATACGTAATTATGTTCAAAAGGTCACGGGCGACGTAGCCGAAAGTACAGAGTAAGTGTTTTCAAGTTGAACGCATAGGTTGAACGTGCAAACTAGCTCAAACGCCGTTTACAAAAAAAGGAATTAAAAGGTAAAACAACGATGTCGGACGATTTTGATTCTGTACTTCCGGCTACGTCGCCCGTGACCTTTTGAACGTAATTACGTATTACGTGACGTTACAAACGCGCCTCACAGAATGGAGAAAGGCTAGCATTTGTCCTTAGAAAAGTTACATTTTTGGAATAAGTTTTGAAATATCCGATCGTTTCACATGATAAGACCCTTATTCATCGTCTGGTGTCGTTTAAAGACATTTGAAGCTGCATCTTTTGGACCTTGGACCGTCTGGTTCTCATTGAAGTCCATTATATGGAAAAAAATTCTGGAATGTTTTCATCAAAAACCTTAATTTCTTTTCGACTGAGGAAAGAAAGACATGGACATCTTGGATGACATGGGGGTGAGTAAATTGTCAGCAAAAGTTCTTTCAAAAGTGAACTAATCCTTTAATGTAATTATATATCAAAACACATACCTTTTCCACAACTTTTGGATTCCCCAGAGGTCGAATGAGAGCTCCACAGGCGATAATGTTGAAGCTGAGGCCCCCGAGGATAAGCAAAGCCCCACGCCAAGCGTAAACTGACACTAGATATTGAAAAAGTGGAGAGAAGGCGAAAGAGGCGAGACCAACGCCTGTGAAGCCCAGGCCCATGGCTAGAGATCTCCGTATGGTGAAATACTGCATCACTGACGCAACAGTAGGGGTGAAGACCAGTGCCCAGCCTAAACCTGACAAAGAAAATCAGAACAACACCAATTAGGACCCTGAAACTGGCTAATATTAAGGACACTGTTTACAAGAGCATCTACCTGAAATGAATCCCATGGTCATGTAAAGATGCAAAAGATTTGTTGCCTGGGAAGCCAGAATGAATCCCAGGCCTGAGAGGAATCCTCCCATCATAACAACTGGACGAGCTCCATACACATTACATGCGGCTGCAGCTATTGGACCTGTGTGAGGACATGCAGTTAACATGTTATATCATATTGAGTTGGTTGATGAAGACATATGTCATCATGAATGATTTTGTGCATGTGAACTTACTCATTAGCTGTTGCATGGCCAACCCAATGGATGTTATCCAAGACACTGCCTGAGCACTCTCATCGAAGTACCGCACAAACTCCACGAAGAAGACGCCCAGACTGCGGATGAGCCCAAACACCAGCGCAGATATCACGAAAAGAGACCCCACCACCACCCAGCCCCAACCCCCATCAGGTGCCGCCATCTGTGGGGACGGCTGCTGCGTTTCCTGCCTCTCTTCGGGCTTTTCCATCTTTGCACTGAAGAGACGAATTAAAGAGACTTTCATTGGTAGAAAAACAGAATGTCCTACAACTTAAAATGCATTAAAATATTTGTTGTGCATAAAATAGTGATTATACTGTATATACAAAATAAAATACTATTATTAAAAGTGAGTAAATAATGAGAGTATATAGATTCTAGGTTATAACTATCAAAAAAGCACATCTTGTTATTATTATTATTATACTAAACTTGAATTATACTGTAAAATATATCAATGAATTTACTTTCATATTACACATTACGTATTTTATGTGTGTATAACTAACCAATTAGATAATTTTTATATATTTCTTCCATTACAATGCAGGTCGATATAGGCTTGAATTTTAATTCTTGCCTTTATGGTATTTTTTACCATAATTTTTCTACATCTTGTACTGTGAAAGAAGAAATTTTATTTTGCAGGGTCAGTTTCCACTCGATTTATGCAGTTAATGATATCCAGAAAGCACAGTGACTATTAATGATTGATATGATGGTGATAAATTAAAATAATTTTATTTTAGCATCACGTTTGATTAAAATGACTAAAATGTTTGCAACCAAACAAGAAACTCCATTTCAAATGTTCAATGTGCAGGAGCATAAATATTGCACAATAAAAAAGGAATTGTAAAATAATTATCAAACAAAAATAGCCTATGAATTAGTGTCAGGCTGTTTTGTGATGATTATGTCACACACCTATTCGCCCTCTCTATCAATCTCCTCTGCCTTAAGTTACGCAAGTAACAGAATGATGTATGTTGTCCTCTCAACACCTCATTACGCAACGCCATTATGCGTTTATATTCACGTTTATAGAAAAGTATGAGAGGCTGCTCACTGCAGTGTGGAGTGTGAAGTATACGTCCTCCAACTACAACTTAACCCTAATCATAACTACCATGTCCTATGACATCACATTGTAGGCTAAAACGCGTATGCAAGTTAGCATTTTTGCGCTTCCGGTTCCCTTGTCCCAAAGTCAATGGTTTTTTTTTTTTTGAATGGGGTTTTGGTTAAATGGTTGAAATGAGGTCTGTGGTGAACACAAGCTCAAGACACTTTCGCGTTTTATTCCACGGCATAAAATACATCAGTATAACCCCACTCATGATTTTTTTAACTGTTATGTGTCTTGAAAAGCGGTTGCTAACAAGTGGCTAAATGGGACTACAGAGGCAGTCGAGCAGAAACGTCATCACGGCGAACAGGTAAACTCGTTTAACTATTCCAACTCACATGTTCTAGGAAAATGTTTTTTGTTAAAAATGAGAGATTTGTCGGAAGCTTAGTCATGGTGTCGTTGAATTTTTGAGACGGTGGTGTAGTTCGTTTAGTCTGGCTTTTACTATTAGCTTTTTACTTCTGACTGCATTTAGCTTCAAAATTCATACATGTGTTCATCTGTAAAAAAAAAATATTTATGAGCAAAACGTGTAAATATCATTAACATTTGATGATCACAGAGCTTGTTTTTAGCAATAATCCAAAAGGCTAAATCCTATTGGGTTTTTGTTAAAGGAACCGTCCGTGACGCAAACTGCAAGTTGGCCTACAAAGTGACGTCATACCTGCGCTTGAATTTGTTTTGTTTTTATGTTATTCTTTTCTGAAGAAATATGACGAGATCTTTCATGTACCAAGATGATTAGTAGCCTATCTATTTGCTGTTTTTTTTATTTATTATAATTTTTTTGTTTTTGTTTGTTTCTTTTTTTACTCTTCTTTCTTTATTTATTTTGTTTATGCAAGAATGAATCTACTTGATCATTATATACATTGTTGGAAATGATCCAGATGTTTAAGAGGTGCATGTTTGCACTATTGTAAAGCAATTTTTGAATTAAAAAAAAAAGTTTTTTATTTATTTTTTTTACAGATGTTTATAATGTACTATAAAATTTGAGAACCTGTGAAATATTGTCAGATGTTAATTTGTGCTCTTGTACATTTATGCCGAGAGACATTATGAAAAAAATAAATATGTAAAAAATATGGAAATTAAAATGATTTTTAACATTATTTCGTTGCTTGATGTTAAATTTAAGTTTTAAAATGCCTGTCTACAGGTACATACTCGATTTCCGGATGTATAACATTGTTATTAGGTAGGCTAATGTAAAAAAAAAAGAAATTGTAAAATCTGCTCACACGTGAAGATACGCCCAATGCAAATCAAACAACCATATGGTTTATAAATATTAATTAGGTAACGTACATAATATTCAGGAAAAGATTCTTGTTGTGCAGTGACTTAGCTGACCCATTCAATCCAGTGTCGCTAGCGTTGTTAATATTTAGCACGCGGGATTTTACAGTGTCAATGACACGATTTATTCATGAATTTATGGCCTTAATATCGATCAATACAAACGCCAAGAGATTAACTTGATGTTGCAGACCGAATGTTATTATAATTACATTGAGGCATATATGTAGGCTATTGTGGACGTACCATACAAGCACTATTTGGCAGTAGATGTTACAATCGCTTACAATGAAACACTAAACACTCTAGACAAACAGTATGTAACATTGTTGCTTACTGAATGACATATAGACGTTATTATTTGTTAGAATAAAATATCGGAAAATGGTATCCGTTTCAAAATGCGATTGCTTCAGGTGAATGAGTCCATAACAGATCAGTCGTTATACTTACCCATAACCCAATCACCCCTTTTCCCTTCGAGGCATGACGATTAGGTCAAATCATAAAAACATCTTCTTTTTAAATGCATAGACAACCGGTAAATATCGGGAAGCTCATAGTCGATGGTGATTTCCGACTTATTCATTAATTCACCTGCTGTTTGACACCAGTTTAGTTTCAGTGAAGCTCCGCCCCCAGAGCGCGCTCACGAGCTAGAAGAAAGTTTTAAATAATATTCAAGAACATATCTCTACATCGATCCCTTTATGAAAACACGTGCAATGTTAGGTTCAGTAAGTCGACCATAACAGCACATTCAGCATTCAGTCACGCATTTAACTACTGTTAAAGATTAACGCTCTCTAGTATCTATGCCTGGTGTGTGAACTAAATAAGGCCCTCTAGCGATTGTTTCAGTTAATGGTTTGATATTATATCATTTAAACACTTTAAAAATGCCAACATTTCTTAAAACTGCCCAGGGTTGTTTACAGGTCTAAATTGGTTTTAAACTGGACTTTACTTGCTGAAGTGTGTGTGTGTGTGTGTGTGTGTGTAGGGGGGACAAAATGTGATTGTTCATGTTCTTGTTTACTCGGTAAAAAATCAACTTTTGTCAATTTCTTTTGTCAAATCAACTTAGATAAGTATGTGATAATGTAGTTCAGATAACATAATATTTTGAGTTTCAAGTTATTAAATTAATCTCCTTCATTGTATTAACTACATTTTTCCATTTCAATGAACATAAAAAATTAAGGCAACCAGGTTACTTATTTTTTTAAGTTAAACCAACAATATTTTTTTACAGTGTATGTATGTGTGTGTATTAAAGTAAATGAGTAAAAATGTGTGTGTGTGTGTGTGTGTGTGTGTAGGCCCACTCTCTCTCTCTCTCTCTCTCTCTATATATATATATATATATATATGAATCATACAAAATGCGTGTTATTTTCCATGGCTGTTTCGTTGTTGTTGTCGTTTATGTGATGGTTGTTGTTGAGTCCCTTGTTTGGATTTTTTAGATCAAGGTAAATTGTTAACTTGTCTTCTGAGAAACATGCAAGCATCTTCTGTTGCTTCCGAAGTACAGTATGAAAAAAAATTATATTTACAGAAAATACGATTTTTTTTTACATCTTTATCCTGTTCAAAAGTTTTCACCCCCCTCCTCTAAGTGGAGCATCAGTGAATGTCTGAACCATATAGTTATAGTTCACCCAAAATTGAAAACTCTGTCACACCTCAAGCGAACATGCTTTTATCTCAACCGATATGTGAGTTGATCAATGTTAATATGTAAAATAAAGCTTGCATTAAATGTGTTCATCATATAAAGCGATCGAGTCTCTTCAGAAAAACACTGGACTAAACCGCTCAATTCATATGGACTAGTTTTATGACCTCTTTAAGAATTTTTTGTCAAAATGGTAGTTGCTTAGCTGTCAATGGAGGGTCAGAAATCTCTCAGATTTCATCAAAAAGGTATTCATTTGTGTTTTAAAGATTAATGAAAGTCTTACAGGTTTAGAACGACATAAATAATGAAAAAGTAATTAATGACAAAATTTTCATTTTTAAGAGAACTATCCCTTTAAGTGGTAAAACTTCCATACACAACTACACATATGGACGGACAGGTAGTGAGTGTGTGTGTGTGCATGGCCGGTTTTTGTTTAAGGCCGGAAACAGGTGCCAGTCGCTCCATTGTTCGTATTTCAGCAGCACCCGTAGAGAAGCTGAGGCGCTTTAGGGTGAGTCAAGGGGTCACAGTTGTGAGCTAATCGAAGGAAGGAAGGGCTAAGAGGTTTATGCTTTGTTCTTCTAGGCTCCAAGAATCAGACGGACATTGGCAAGTTAGATTTAAACTTGCAGTGAAACATTTCTGTATGCTGCTTACTAAGTTGACTACATTATAATTGTGAGACTCTCCCACTGTTCGTGTGATTGTGAAGAAGCAGGATTGCATGAGAACAGCAGACACACACACAATAACAAGAAATTAATTTAACTTTAATTTATATAAAATAGGTCTTGTCTTTGTCCAGCAAAAGAGCGCAATACAATTTTGTTGATATCATTATCCTCATCATCATCATCACTCTTCTTTACATGTATATTTGTTTGAATAGCGAGTCCTCAACCTGCTTGGACTCAATATCATTAAAAAAGACATGGAGAGTCTAATTCTCTACAAATTTTCATATTGTTATTTAAACACAAATAGGCTCCAGGCCTTTTAAATGAGTACATTACCATACTAAATAACATATTAAGCAACTAAGAGGTTAACGTATATTTGAGTTTGACATTCTGATGATTGGACCATAATGGATTCAAATAAGAGCACTATTTGGGCAGAACAATTAATAAAGAAATAATAATAAATAAACAGATATTAAAATGACAGCATATTGATTAATAAAAAAATCATTCTCTTCTTTCTTAGACATGCTTAATTCCTTTTTTTCTCATACAATGCACTTCTGTTCTTCCCTTCATAATCTTTCCTACAATCTTGCAGAATCCCACTTTTAATATCCACTCATTTTGCTCTTACATCTCCAATCTGAACTCCTACACATCTTCACACTCAGCCACAAACCATTTTTAAATCACAACAGCAAAAATAATCTTACATTTCCTTCCATGTGTAACGTTAAGCTACTAAAGCATTTACAATTCACTCGATTTGTTTCACACCAAGGACGATAACTAGCCTATCTATAGATATAAAAAAAATCATTTCTAAATATAAAAGAATAGCAGAGTTCACACCACAGCTATAACGATAACAACGGTGACAAGATGTCGTCGTCGTGGGAAGAAGCTGACGATGAGCGATAAAAACACTGACAGCCAATCACAATCCATCCTGCTTTCAGAGCGCGAGCATTTAAAGCGAACGACGACAAAACTGGTAGGTTTCGTTATATTTATTTTTATAGTTATTGCTCTTGGTGTGAACAAACCTTTAATCCCTATTCGGATGGCAATTGTTTCTCATGGGGATGTCTGGAAAAATAAATGAGCATGGCTCCTCAGTGATAAAACTTAGCGTTCAAATGGTTTTTGGTTTTCTGTCTTGCGTTTTATCTTTCCAAATGATAGATTTGTATTTTTTAACCAATGTGGAAATTAGCAGGAACAAAATGTGAACACAACCTCCTGTTTACATAAGGTTAACATTTGACCTGGATACTTTACCGACTAGTAAAATGATTAGTCATGCTAATAGAGTGCCGAAGTTACAACGTCACTCTAGGCCAAAACGCGGAAGTGTTAGCAATAGCATTTTAGCGCTCCCAGTTCCCTCACTCTAAAGTCTATAGGATTTTTGAATGGGTTTTGCTAAATCGCCTGAAATAAGGTCTGTGGTGAACAAAGCCTCTAAATATTTTCACGTTTTTATCTATGACAACACACAGTTATAACCTGCTTGTGGTTTTTTAAACTTTATTGTGTCTGCTTGTGTTTTTTTTTTTTAAAACTTTATATAGGCTTCAAAATGTAGGCTATATTTTTGGATTAACTTGTAAAGATTATCTTGATTAACAAAATGTGTGGGGTCACAACTACTTGTTGAACACAGACTTAATTTTTTGCGATTTTCCAAAAGTCTATGGGGAAAATGCATAGCTTTTCGATCGAGGGAACCCATGCACCGCTAGCTTCCGAGTTGTCCTACAAAGTGACATCATCACTTTGGCACTCTATACACAATTCATTTAGTGTTTCCCCCTGAGAATTAGCCTACAACCTGAACAGGGCTACTTACTTTTTGACAATGATATCCACCATTTCCCCTGCCCATATGACAACTAAAAACTTGTTGCAACAGCATACAATATGATTAAATAGCATGAGGAAGAGAAAGTATGCAAAGCAAAATAAATAATAACATTTCAACAAATAATAAAGGTAACAGTCAGCACATCTAGTGCAGGAGTGCTGCATTCTTGGAAGACTGCATTCATTGGTATATTTGAGCCAAGCTGTCCTCGAATGCAGCACTCCACCTCTTTAAACTCTTTACAATACTGTTGGATGGATCCATCCTAAACGTTTGGATCTTCAGCATACAGCCACGGTGCCTGCGATGTTGACCGTGTCCCTCAGCCAGCTTGCAGCAGGGTGGGTCCAGGTTGGTACGGGTCGGTCAGAACCTTGTAGCGGATCTTGGTGTTGGTGATCGCGCCGTGCTTCTGTCTCAGATGGAGCCTCAGCTGGCTCTTATGACGGAAGTGCAGGTGACATTTCTCACACTGGAAGAAAAGATTAGAGAAAAGAGTGAGATTTATTTTGAACGGTTTTCCAATCCTTTGTCATTTATAAATTAAAGTCATCATCTAAATTTAAATTGAAATCAAAATTGAAAAATTCTTGTTTTTATGGAACATTGCTGTATTTCTTGCATTCATTCATTTTCCCTCGTTAAAGGATATAGTATATATTAAAATCCCTATTGAAATATAGGCTACTGACGCTGTACGGCTTCTCTCCGGTGTGGATGCGCAGGTGGCTCTTCAGCGTCTGCAGGTGTCGGAAACGTGTTCCACAGGTGTTACACGGGTACGGCTTTTCTCCGGTGTGGATCAGAACGTGAGCGCGCAGGTGAGCGACCTACAACACACATCATGCGTTTTTCAAGAATATCATTTTAAATGCTTAAAAATAATAGTGATACATGCAATCCTGCGCAGACGCACCTGGACAAATCTGGCGCCGCATGTGTCGCAGCGGTAGGGCTTTTCTCCCGAGTGGATGCGGGAATGAGTCTTTAAATTCGCAGGCCGGTTGAACTGCGCCCCGCACACATTACAGCGGTAAGGCTTGTCTCCTGGGGTCAGCGAGTGGATAAGAGAGATATAAGGAATGAGATACAAGTCAGTATTAATAATAAACTTTATTTTATACAGTGCATACAGAAATACATAAAACAGTTAACTAACAGATATTTGTTGTACACTGCGTACACTTTTTTTTCTTTTGTCAAATCAACCTAGCTAAATAATGTGGTTTAGATAACATAATATTTAGAATTTTTACTGATTAAACCAAATTTTTAATTTCGATGAACTTAACTAACTTACTTTTTTAAGTTAAAGTTTAAACCAACAATATTTTTTTACAGCGAATCAACCACTCACCTGAGCAGGAAGGTTTTGTGTTTGTTCCTTGATTTCCAATGCAACTGAGCTGTGCAGGGAGGTTCTCAAACTTGATTGGATGTCGGCCCAATAAAGGATTCTGATTGGCTATTTGGGTGCAAACGTAAGGACTAAAGAGACCTTTTAAAAAGGAAGAGGATGAAAAATAAGATTAGATTGTTTATTTTTGTAAACACAGCTAGTCATAGTAAAGCTAAGAGATGCTCACTGACTTTTATCCTCACTGATCGAAAGGGTCAGGGGTTGCAAATGGCGGTCCAAGACATGATGGGGATATTTTTGCTGTGACATATTGTACGGAAGATGCAAAGTTTTCCTAGAAGAAACAAAACAATGGTCAATACATTTTTAATCCGTTGCATCAGAAGATCTTTCAGTCAGAAGCTACAAAACACACCTATAATTCATTCCAGGCTCCTCCCCTGTCCAAATGTTATTTGCTGTTTTAGGATCTTCCATCCTATCACTGACTAAAGGGGCGTGGCTTTGTGCTTGTCGCTCCTCTCCAGGCCCCTCCTCCTTTATAGGTGTGGCGCACAAAGGGTTGAGGACAATATACTTGTACTTCTTCCAGTTGCAGGCCTTTGGGTCAGGAGTAGGTTTAGATTCTGATCTTTTCTGTAAAGATGAAACATTACAGTTACACACATTCACACAGCAACAGAATACAGTTGTCAGCCCTATTTGAGTCCTGAATACGGTTACATTCACACACACAGTTCTGTTATTTATGGGAGTGAAAACCGTATTCTTTAACCAAACTCACACCCATACATTTTCAGGACTCACAACTATATTCTCGGAAAACCAACGCTGTGTAAACAGAACAGGACTGGATTACTTGTCTGTCACGTCATACAGTGTGAGAGAGACGGATTAATGCGTGTAAACCCTGTTGCTTACAGCAATTCTCGGGAATTGATTGGATTATAAGTTGGGCGTTGCAAACAAAATGGAGGCATATTTGAACGTCAGGATTTTTAGTCCTACCCTCTGCTGTGACTCTTGTTTAGAGGGGGAGGGGAGGTTAAAGTATTTGATTAAAGATTAAGACTGAATTTAAAAAAAATAATAATAATGTGCACAGAAATATCATTCACAAACATGCACACCTTTAGTTGAGGAGAGAGACTGCAGCCGCTGGACTCAGCAGGAGAGTTGGGCTGCCCGCTGGATTGGGAAGGACTGTCTGGGGATGGTGTGGAGGGGGGTGGAGGGGACGATTCCTCTAATTTTAGGGTCTGAGACTTGGGGATAGCAATCAGGCCAGTTCCTGGATCCAGCGAGGCAAAGCTCTCACCTGGAATCCTGTAGATACAGTTGATGCATTGTACGCCCTTTTGATAACCACTTTTGAGATGGGATATAGTGGAAGTGTCAAATGCATTCAAACACACATTAGAGATTCCCTCTATAAGCCTTTTACCTGGCTCGGTCTGGGATGGGATCTTCTGCCTCAGCATCGGGCCTGGAGGGGGAGGAGAAGATGGTGGGATGAGCAGGCGGGGATCTTCCACCGAGAGGCGCTCTGGAGGCTGGCTCCATCAAAGAGGGACTTACAGTGATCCTTTCACTGCAGAGAAAAGGACACACTTTTGGGCTATTTATGCAAACATAGTTCAAACAAACATTTGTGATATAATGAGTGTGAGATGGGAAGAATAAATCTTTAAAAACTTTGCCTTCCCTCGTAAAATCTATTGCGTTCCCCCAGGAAACTTTGCGTTACCTCACAAAAATGATTGCGTTCCCCTGGGAAACTTTGCATTCCCTCACAAAATCGATTGCGTTCCCCCGGGAAACTTTGCGTTCCCCCAGGAAACTTTGCGTTCCCCGGGAAACCTTGCGTTCCCTCGCAAATTCTGTTGCGTTCTCCTGGGAAACTTTGTGTTTCCTCGTAAACTCTATTGCGTTCCCCCAGGAAACTTTGCGTTACCTCACAAAAATGATTGCGTTCCCCTGGGAAACTTTGCATTCCCTCACAAAATCGATTGCGTTCCCCCGGGAAACTTTGCGTTCCCCCAGGAAACTTTGCGTTCCCCGGGAAACCTTGCGTTCCCTCGCAAATTCTGTTGCGTTCTCCTGGGAAACTTTGTGTTTCCTCGTAAACTCTATTTCGTTCCCCCAGGAAACTTTGCATTCCCTCGCAAAATCTATTGCGTTCCCCCAGGAAACTTTGCGTTCCCCTGATAAACTTTGCGTTCCCCCGGGAAACTTTGCATTCCTTCGCAAATTCTGTTGCGTTCTCCTGGGAAACTTTGCGTTTCCTCGCAAAATCTATTGCGTTCCCCCAGGAAACTTTGGGTTCCCCTGATAAACTTTGCGTTCCCCCGGGAAACTTTGCGTTCCCTCGCAAATTCTGTTGCGTTCTCCCGGGAAACTTTGCGTTTCCTCGCAAAATCTATTGCATTCCCCCAGGAAACTTTACGTTTCCTCGTAAAATCTATTTCGTTCCCCCAGAAAAATCTGCGTTCCCCTGATAAACTTTGCGTTCCCCGGGAAACTTTACGTTCCTTCACAAAATCTATTGCATTCCCCCCGGAAACTTTGCGTTCCCTCGCAAAATCTCATGCATTTCCCCTGATAAACTTTACGTTCCCCTGGGAAACTTGCTTTGTTTGTTGCATTACAACAATGTTGCATCATATTGTTGGTTATTTGTAAAAGTTGAGCTCTGTTTAAATTTGTAGCATCATTGTCACTCATGTCAGCAGAAATCTTTGTCTACTGCAAATCTCTGTCAGTGTTCTGCGCGCGCTTCCTTCACTGCTCTGGAGTTCAGTCTCACCTGTGCTGGATAAATGCTCGGCAGGTTTCTGCGACGTGCTCCATCTGCAGGTAGGAGGCAGCGGCGAGCACTCCAGAGACTGTGCGGGGCGTGAGAGGGAGGCAGGAGGTGTACATGAAGTCCAGCAGCAGAGACACGCTGCCTGAGTCCAGGCCCTCCGGCAGGGCAAGAGAGAACACCCGCTCACCGCAGGCACCGGCCGCTCGACGAGAGAACAGAGTGTAGAAGAATCCACTGTGAAAACACAGATGTGTAAGAAAGAGTAATCAAAACACTTTCAACTGACTGCAAACTCTGACAAATGTGAAACCCATTTTCCACTCAAATCATGCTTTTGTAAATTATGATATGACACTAAATCATAGTTATGACATTTTATCAAAATCACAATGAGTCAAAATTATGACAAAATCATCACATTAAAATGCGAGATTATGACAAAAGTCGAAATTCTAGCTTTAAAGTAATAAAAAGTCGTTTTTTTTACTTTATTGACAGTCCTAATTTTTATTTATAATTTTCTATCTCATAATTTCTGATAAAAAGTCAAAATTATAACTGTCATAATTATGACCTTTTCAGAATTAAGATGTTTTGTCATAATTTCACATTTTTATGTAATAATTTTGGCATTTATGTAATAATTTCGAATTTCTATCCAACGTATGAGAAAAAGTTAAAATTATAACTTTCATATTTCCAAATGTTTGTCATAATTTCAAAATTTTAATCTTATAATTGTGTCTTAATTGGTCAATTATGACGTTGTATAATCATAATTCATAGTTTCGGAATTTTGTCACGGATATGGCCTTCCATACAAAAGCATATCTACTTACAATAGTACAATAGGCTACTTGTGAAACAAAAGCAGTGTGTGTGCCAGAATATGATATGATCTCATGCAAGACAGAGTGAGGTAACTGTCTTCTGAAAAAAGCCATAGACAGTAAAAGAAAAAAGCAAATCTTAGCAGTAGCACAAACAGGAAAAATGGCGGAGGGGGGCAGGAAAGAGAAGCGAGGGAGGGCGGGAGAAAGTGAATGATCTGGCACTCCCAGATGCCCGACCTGCATGCGATGAGCACGGCGCAGTGCGCGCGCAGCGTGGCGGACCCCACGAGCAGCGTGGCGTCGGTGAGGATGTCGCGATGCCGCAGCTCGTTTAAGTTCAGCAGCACGTCGTTGGAGTGGCGGGTGAACTCCTTAATGTAGCCTTTCTTCACCTCCATCACATGCGCGGAGGGGCTTCCGTGGTCCTCTTCCATCTGCATTTATTTAACTATTTCATAAAGAATAGTGTAAACATATTCATTTCTAATAATTAACCTCTGCAGCTAATATTTTTGCATTATATTCCATTTTAGCAAAAAATTATTGAAATAATTAAAATATGTAGGCTATTGATATTCATAAAGGCTATTTTAATATCTATTTAGCCTCTATATAAAAGATAAAAAACAAAGAATTTGAAAGCCAATTGATTTTTAGAAGAAAAGGTTCTTATATAGAACCTTAAAAGGTTCTGTCAGCGCTATGTATTTGGAACCCCTAAAAGGTTCTATACACTCTTAAAAAAGGGTTCCTCTGCGTTCTATATAGAACCATATGGGGTTCCATACTTGGCCAATAGAACCTTTTCCCCCAAAAAAATGGTTATATAGAACCATTTTGGAGTTCTATATATGAAGCGAGGGATGGAACCATTTCTGGTTCTAAATAGAACCATTTCTTCTAAGAGTGTATTTAACAATATAGTCTACTTATTAGAATGATGGTCCTGTAAAGCTTTATAGTAATCATAAAATATGTTTATTAAACAAAATAATATTTTTACCTGGCAAAATGAGATTCAGAAGCATTTATTTGGGGAGGCCAGCTCCCTATACTCGTACCTGCCATCAACAAAATAAATCATAACTCACATGCACCAAGTTTAATAACAAGTAAAAAAGTAAACATCTTTTTTTTTTACAAAAAACATGCATGTCATTTTTTTAACCACCTTACTAATGCATCATTCTGCAAAACTATAAAATATCATGCACAATACTATTGCATTAGACTGACTATTGCATTAGTTCAGTTAGCAGCAGAAATATTTAATTAGCAAATCAGTAAAACTTCATTTATTATAAAATTACTAATCTCCAGACAGCCTTTTAAAAATGAAAAGCATCAAAATAATTCAAAGTAAAAAAAAATGACCACGTTGTCATTCATTTATTAGTATTTTGCCTCACCCCCTAAAACCTCAGTCATAACACCATAAGGATGCAAAGGGATTTTCCCACATTTTGCATGTGGTTTGAGCATCAAAAAGTATAATCCAAAGCATAATTTGAAAAACGAAGTAAAATTTGGAATTCAAGTACAAAATATTTGTCTGCCAGAAACATCTATACAATATAGCTATGCATTAAAAAGACTGAATTGAGAACTCACCCCGACCAGCAGGGACGAGAACACACACCGCCCTGTTCTTACAGCTCCTCTCTTCTGATCCCAGGTTCACACACACGGTCTAGACTCTCTCACTCAAACGTGTCTCTGGAAAACTGACCAGTCTGACCTAAGAGAGAGTATCCTTTATAACGCCGTGCAGGAAGTCTCATTCAGTCAGGGTGTTTATTTCCTGTGTTAAGCTGCCTTTTCACACTGCTCCCAGGTCAGTTTTGTGGCGTTTCTAATAATGACTGAATGCGGGATGTCGATGGTCTCTGATCAGGATGGGAAAACATCATCCCGAATCCTCTTCTCCACCTTCCTAACTCTGCCCACGCGCTGGAAGCTCAGCGGGGAAAGGCTCCAGGCCCCCGTGTGTCAGTATTTATAGTTGTGTATTAGAGCCCTTTTGTGTTTAATGATGACAGGAAAGTGGGTAGAGTGCTTTTTGATGCGTGGTGCGTGTGTTTTGTAAATGTTTGTATGGATGTGTAGAATCCAGGGAATGTGGGTTTGTGTGTGTGAGAGTGTGTCGTTTGCGTGGGCTTATGCACATTGTCAACGGGTCAGAAGTCCTGTCAACACTGTCCAGGAGTTCAGCAAACCAAAGCAAACGCGCACGACCCGGTGTCTGTCCAGGACGAGGGAAATTGTCTCAGAGGAAGTTTGCGCAAATACATCAACTTCATTCATATGGTTTGCCATAGGAATCTTAAAAGCTTGAGTCCACAAGGCAAACATTAGATCAGATTAGGACTGTGCAACCTACACTCTTAGAAGTAATGGTTCTATTTAGAACCAGAAATGGTTCCATCCCCCGCTTCATATATGGAACTCCAAAATGGTTCTATATAGAACAAATTTTTTTTGGTAAAAGGTTCTATTGGCCAAGGATGGAACCCCATGGTTCTATATAGAACCCAGAGGAACCCATTTTTTAAGAGAGTATAGAACCTTTTAAGGGTTCCAAATATGTAGATATAGAACCTTTTCTTCTAAGTGTGTAACGCTGTAATATGGATTTTTAAGTGAACTTGAAATAAGTTCATACCATATAGTCTCAGCTAAATTTCTAATATGCATTAAAAAGGATTGCAGGGACTCCTGAATGTGTCCTGTCTGTGGTGTCTTACACCAAGACATTAGCAGCTGATCCTTCAAGTCCGGTAGGTTGCGAGGTGAAACCCCCATGGATCAAACTTGTTGGTCCGGCACATCTTACAGATGCTCAGTTGGATTGAGAAAGGCCGAGTTTGGAGGCTGAGCAAAACCTTGAACTCCTCATCATGTTCCTCAAACCATTCAGGTGCTTTATCCTGCTGAAAGAGCCACTGCCATGTTTCCATGTTTTGCGTCCAACATGAACCCAGGGTTTCCCAGATCATCACACTCCCTCCACTGGCTTGTCGTCGTCCCACAGTGATCCCGGTGCCATCACTTCCCCAAGTTAACGGCTGTCCACATTGTGTGCCCATTGTAGGTGTTTTTGGGCATCTGATTGGTCAGGGGCTGCACTTCTCCATTCGCAGAAGAGTGTTGTGACATTTCTCCTATAACCATCATTCACAAGTTCACACTTACAAATAAGTCAGATAGAATTGTATGCGTATTTGGGGTGCTGTCCGGGAGATAATATGTCCGGTATTTGGCCCGAACCCAGAGTACTCCTCCCGTATTCCTGGTTGTGGAAGGAACAAGCCGAGAGTGAGGAGTCGGGGTGGTGGAGGGATGCTGAAACACTGTTAAGGATTGTATGCTTCCTCTCATGCTGATGGGATAGTCATGATGATTGTTGATGACAAGATTATTTGAACGTGCTCCTTACGAACTTTGTCTAGTGAAACATCATTTAAAATGTTGTGTAACTTTGTGTATACACATTCACATGTCTCTTCAACGGACAATTTGAGGCATCATTCAAAAGGGTTCATTGGGGTTCCATATATGAAGCAGAGGGTTCTTTACTCGACTCCAAAGGAACTTTTATGCTAAAAAAGATTCTATAATGACGAGAAAGAACCCTCTTGGCACAAAGGTTCTTTATAGGCTATTATTCATTCATATATTACATTATTCTGCAACATTTTGTAGTTGTAATTAAGTTATTGTTGTAGTAACTTAATGTCACATTTTAATCATGCTGATTTTTGGAGGAAAAAAACTGAAATGTCACTCTTCGTGTGATATTGATTAATTACATTTTTTAACCCCCATATCTTGAATTTTGTGATCGTTCACATGCATTGCATTTAGGCGTTCCAAATACGTAGCGCTTTAGAACCTTTTAAGGTTCTATATAGAACCTTTTCTTCTAACGCCGCCTTCACACTGGCAGTTGAAATCAGCTCCGATGCGGCTGCGAAACGACCGGAAGTCATTCATTTTTCGCAGATTCGCAGACCGCATGCGAATGGGTCCGAAACGGGTCCGACCGAGTGCGGTGCGAAGAAAATCGTGTCCGTTGGTCATCCGGATGCGTTCAAAAATTTGAACTCTTGCGAAAAGCTACGGACGGTTCCTATCCGACAATTCCAGCGGAAGTTGACCGTTGCTATGGTACTGATAAACAAATCGGAATTATTAACTTTTATTAAAATAAATATTGATTTTATAACGATAAGTTGTGATGTCATTTTTTATTTTCATGACTTTCTAACGTTTATAAGGGCAGTTAATACGATTAAATTGAAGGTAGACATTGAACTATTGACCACTATATCACATTTTTTAGCCGACCTGACATGTAAACGTCCTCAGCAACTTTCCTCACGCAGCATAACCCTCATCAGAGAGATCATACAGAACTGACAGAATCAAACTTTAATCTCTCCGCCATTTTTGTTCTACCCGCGTCCGACGCTTTTCACTGTGTAGTACGACGTCCGTTGGGAACGTATTGCGTATTACGGAGCTGATTTCAACTGCCAGTGTGAAGGCAGCGTAAGAGTGTATAATTGCAGAATGAACCAAAATCAACTGACTTTTTAAGTGGTCAAGTGGTTAAGAATTAGACAACATAGTGTCGGGCCAGATCCGGCCCACATCTGTTTCGTCTGGAATCCACAAGGTATGGCCGGGATCTGGGCCGACACTATGTTCCTGTCTGCGTTTTACCTCGAAAGTTGCGATTTTCGATTCTCAATACCGACAGGAACCGACTGAGGTGCCCTTGAACAAGACACCTAACCCCCAATCGCTCCCCAGGCACCACAGCACAATGGCTGCCCACTGCTCTGTGTGTGCAACATGACATCATGACTTTTGCGGCGTAAACGTACACCGCACTTTCAAGTCAAGTGGCGTGTTATCTATACGCATTTTAAGCTATCCACGTGTATGCATGTATGTCTACGCCGTTAAATGTCCGTGCGAAACAAAGAAAAATGTAGATCTACATCTGGGGAGCGTTATTTTTTTCCTAGGATGGTAGGGGACGACTCATAAATGCTATTAACCCCAGTGACGGTTAGGTTTAGGGACGGGGTTGGGGTGGGTCATATATTTATACAGTAGTGTAACGTTAAGTAAACGGCGTTCATAAACACGCTGAAAAGCGATTATGCGTGTTGATAGCACGGCAAAAATGGAAATACGAATTGGCGTGTCATATATACGCCGTTTCATGAGATCAGTCTGGTGTGTGTGTCCATGTTGCAGTCTGTTTTTGTGTGTTCACTTCTCACTGCTCCTAATGTGTATTAAAGGGGTCATGAACTGGCTTTTTAAATTTTATTATATTGTTGTCTGAGGTCAATTTATGACGTTCGCTTGGTTTTTGCATTCAAAAACATCAAAATGAATAAGTAATAGGCTATGAAGCTTATGCAGCGACTGTCTTCTTCCACAACCAGGCACCTGCACAATATTCTGTATTGCTCGGTAGCTCGATCCGGTTTGTCATCACAAGGTAGCCATTGTGTATTTTTAAAAACGAGTCGTTTTCAGAGGCTGGTGTCAATAAAAGCTTTTATTGGACTAACAAGGACGTTTTCAGTTCTGAAACTTACAGGATATTCTTATAATATGATGACCTCTTAGATGTCAAAAGCTCAAGGAAAATTTGATTTCTCAGTTCATCACCCCTTTAAAAGCAGAGGACACATTCAGAGTATGGGTGGCCATATACTTCATATACCGCTTTAATTTCACATTTTTTCCCAATCTAAGTAGGCCATCTCAAATGAGTCTGGAAGTTAACTTCCTATCAGTAATTTTGTGTAGACTGAGTGAACCAGGTTGCACAGTAAACATGGCCTAAACAAAGTGCACAACCTTTGTTCAGATCAAATATAAGCAACTCAGCGAATGCAGCCAGGTCAGCAAGTACGGCCACATTAGGCCTCACCTGCCTCTCTCAAGGGTTGCCGGAAACCTCTGTCTGGCTTCCTGTGACAGGAGAGTGTGTGTGTGTGCTTTGGGAAGCTTGTTATGGGCAATGAGCGGAAGGAAATAGGAGAGTTTTAAAAAAAGTGATATGGGTGATATCCCTCTCTCACGACCGAAAAACAAGGGACACCTAGAGAAATGCAGCCCGCAGATGTGCAGGAACTATGGAACACCCCCTTAAGGCTTCCTGTGAGACACACACACACACACACACACAGACTGGGATGAAACGCCTGCGCAGGACATCCGTCAATAAAGCAGGCAGGAGAATGAGACGGGGGATATGGGGGTTCATGTAGGTCTCCAATAGCTTAAAAACAAGCGGAAAGTTACCTCACCTTCTTCACTCACTACATGCTTTATGGAGATTTTGGAGGGAAAACGTATTAATGGCCACAAAGACATAGACAATTAAGTCTGTATGAAATGTTCCTCCTTGCTTCAGGTTTCTTGAGTTCATTGTTTACTCTTTTATCATCCACCAGGCGATGATTACTTGATTGTCATTGCAAAATATGAAGGTGCATGCTAATTTTCACAGTTTTTATGGTGCGTTCAAGTCCTCCTAAGTTTGTATTTACAAGGTGGGAAGTTGTGTTTACAACGTCAGGTACGCACCTGTCAACATTTCGTCTGAGAAAGATGGCGGTGTAACTTCTCTAAATTAATTACACAAAAATACAGCAATTTTTTTAACTCTATACACTGTAAAAAATATTGATGGTTTAACTTAAAAA